TTGCATCTGACAGCACTTTAATGGAGAATAAGAGCAGTTGAAACAGGGTGTTAATAACCTTGCAAAGTAATCATTAATCTTCCCTCCCACCCTCTTTCTTTTTTCTTTCTTTCTTTCTTTCTTTCTTTCTTTCTTTCTTTCAGCTGCCCAATTCAAACAGTGTGAGTCTTGGTAGCATACAGTAACAAAAAAAAAACCCAATAAACTGAAGGAACGCACATAACCATAAAACAAGCTCTGAATGTAATTATGAAATGCAGAATATAAAATGGTGTCTCTCCACTGTACTAAAAAGAACCAAAAAGAAATTCCACCTGTAGGGAATGCCAGGAGGGAAAGCCAATCTTCACAGTTTTCCTAAAGGCAAACTGAATTGTGGCCTGTCCAGTATCTGTTTAAAAGCCTCTAGTGATAGAGCACCCAGATAATAGATAATCAGAGTTGGAAGGGACCTTGTAAGTCATCTAGTCCAACCCCCCTGCCCAAGCAGGAGACCTTACACCATTTCTGATAAATGGCAGTCCAGTCTCTTATTGAAAGTCTCAAGTGATGGCGCTCCCATAACTTCCAAGGGCAAGCCGTTCCATTGGCTGATTGTTCTCACTGTCAGAAAGTTTCTCCTTATTTCCAGGTTAAATCTCTCCTTGTTCAGTTTCCACCCATTATTCCTTGTCTGGCGTTCAGGTGCTTTAGAAAACAGCTTGACCCCCTCTTCCTCTCTGTGGCAGCCCCTCAAATATTGGAAGACTGCTATCATGTCTCCCCTGGTCCTTCTCTTTACTAGACTGTCCAAGCCCAGTTCCTATAACTGTTCTTCGTATGTTTTAGTCTCCAGTCCCCTAATCATCCTGGTTGCTCTTCTCTGTACTTTTTCCAGAGTCTCAACGTCTTTTTTATAATGTGGTGAACCAAACTGGATGCAGTACTCTAGGTGTGTGGTCTTACTAAGGCTTTATAGAGTGGTATTAGTACCTCCCTTGATCTCGATTGTATCCCTCTGTTAATGCAACTTAGGATTGCATTAGCTTTTTTGGCTGCTGCTGCACACTGCTGGCTCATATTTAGCTGGTTGGCCACTAAGACTCCAAGATCCCTGTCACAGTTACTGATGTTGAGCCTGGTTTCACCCAGTTTATATGTGTACTTTTGGTTTTTCTTGCCTAAGTGTAGGACTTGACTTATCTCTACATTGAATTTCATTTTGTGAGATATGGCCCAGTGTTCTAGTCTGTCAAGATCCATCTGGATCTTGAGCCTATCTTCTTGGGTGTTAGCTATTCCTGCCTGGTGCATATTTGGGCAGGAGGGGAAGTTAATGATAACAATTCTAAAAGCCGATCATCTCACTATCCGAAATTGCAATTTTATTGCATAATTGCAGTGTCCCACTCTCCAGTAAATTCTGAAATTGCAAACATGAGTTGGCCTGAAGAGTGTTTATAGGTAGTCCTCACAACCATTCATTTAGCAACCTTTCGAAGTTACAGCAGCACTGAAAAAAGCAACTTACAACTGGTCTTCACACTTACGACTTGAATTTCTACAGTCACGTGATCAGTATTCAGGCACTTACATAATTGGCATGTATAGTCAACAGTTGCAGTGGGGTCATACGATCCCACAATTTGCAATTTCCCGGCTGACTTCCAAGAAGCAAAGTTGATGGGGGAAGCCAGATTTGCTTAATGACTGCATCATTCACTTAACAACTGTGACTAAAAAAGTCGTAAAATCAGGCACAACTCATTGAACACCCTCCTTGCTTAGCGATGGAAGTTGTGGTCCCAATTGTGGTGACTACAAAACTATTGTAGGAACTAGCTGTATAGTCAATAGCCTCTAGGTTAACATATGCTCTCTCCATGAAGAAATGCTGTATTAGAAAAGACCAACCTCACCATTGTACAAAAAAATGTTTTATAGATGGCGTTCACCACCTGCTAGGTTAGCTAAAATATTTAAAAATATGTCTAGCAAATGTTGGAAATGCAATTTTAAAAAATAGGCACATTTTGTCATAGGTGGTGGATTTGTGTTAAAGCAAAAATAATTTTGAGCAAAAATACACAGATGCATGATAGAAAAGATAATAGGGAAACATGTAGATTTCAAACCTGAACTGTTTTTATTAGGGATGATATCAGAAAAATTGGATAAGAAAAGTATGTATTTAACATTACATGTTTTAACAGCAGTGAGGATTATCTTCGCACAATATTGGAAAAAATGAAGAAACACCGCAAGACGCAAGAAGATATTAGATTGTGCAGAAATGGATAGACTTAGATTGAAAATCAACCAGAAAGAAGACATAGAATATTATCAAACATAGAACTTATTTTACCAGTGGTTGGAAAAAAGGGGAGGAGAGTAAGAATGGAATCTGTATTGCTAAGCAAATTAAATACTGAGACATCAAACACTAAGAAATATAATAAATAGAAAATTAATGAAATTTACTAAAAAATGAAAAAGAAATGCCGTAGTAGAGACTCCCAACCTCACCATTGTACAAAAGAAAGTTCAACCTTCTTCCCTTCCTTGTTCGGTTATGCCACAAACTCTACTCCCCATATGTCCGGATGTCACCCATGATTGAGCACCTGTATATCTCACTTCCTTACCTCCTAACCCTTCATTCTCCATTGGTCTTGTATTATCTGCCATAATCCAAGATAGAATTGCTTTTTTATTTATGGTTAGCCACCGTTACATCTCCGGCTCATTATAACACTGACATAACTAAGCTTTTCGGCTGCATATGGTGCATCTGGGATAGGCAATTATACAGTGATGTTTGATTTATAGCCTATCTTAATGTATTCAACACAAGGCACTTGGCTGCATTAGAAAAATAAAGAGCTGGTATTGTTTCATTTTTACTATTCTTTGGGGAAGAACAAAATATATCCTTAGCCTTCACTGGCAGTTCAGTTGTTGGTGGTTGTGCATAGCAAAATTTGCAAATAAGATAATTTATGCTCTTTTCAACTCTCAAGAGGTGTTTAATGCTCAAGAGGTGCTCAATGGGAGTAGACCACACCCAAATCAGGACAGATAAGTGAAAGCTCATCCACACTCCCAACCATGGCAGGTTGTGACTTGGATGGCAAATAGCCTTGTCTGCGCTATGAGTTTTTATAGGTTTTTATATCACTATAATTCTCATGGCTTCTTCGTAAATATCCTGGGAGTTGCATTTTGGAGAGTATACCCAACATTTCTTTATTTACCATTCCAAGTGTTTCTTCTTTCAGAACTACAGCATCTAGAGGTTGTGGGCAGGAGAAGTCAGTGATGTGTGTAGCCCTCTGGTTTATTACAAATGCACACTCTTCCATTCTGCTGTATTGCTGAAGCCCAGTCATTCTTCATCAGCAGTTCTGGAGATGCTACTGACTATTTAGGCAACAAATTGTTTTTGTAGAGATTCATTGGAAGACAGCGCAATTGTACGCCTGCCCTTTCATAAGTAATTCTGATCAATGGAGCTCATTCAATTTAACTGTGCATAGAATTTCATCCTAGATTTTGGATCACCAATTCACGCTCTATTTCTCAGGGATTAGCTACAAGGTTGACAGCAAGTTCTCTGCAGCACTACCCTTGCGTGGGCTTTGTGAAACCGATTTTGCTTGGTGCATAAATAGCAAAATCAAAAATACTGGATTCAAAGAAGTGCAGATTACCAGACAGAGAAGGCATTTAAAGTGAAAATACACAGGACAGGCCAAGAGAATTACCCAGATAAGGATTCTTTCCTAGATATACAAAAGAAGCCGGCTGGAGTTTTAAAAATTAAGGGGATTTACAGATGATAAACCAAGAGAATGACCTGGATAATGTATTTTTATTAGATTTAGAAAAGAAGAGGCGTAAGCGATAAGACAGAAGACTTGAAGAGAAAGTAAATCCTACAACAGTATTTTAAGGAATTAAAGACTTAAGTTTTTTCCAAAGTGTAAGGAAGGAATATAAAGATGGTTTATTTGATTGATCATTTAAATATGAGCACGCCACAAAGAAGAGGGGGTCAGTTTATTCTCCAAAGCACCTGAGGGCAGGAGAAGAAGTAACAAGTAGAAGCTTATCAAAAAGAGATCCAATCTAGAAATAAGGAGAAATTTCCCGACAGTTAGAACAATGGAATGAGTGCTTTCAGAATAGAATAGAATAGAATAGAATAGAATAGAATAGAATAGAATAG